TAACAAGTAAACTAATTTATCTTGGCTAGTCTTATTAAAAGTTTTGCTCAGTGAATTTCTCTAGACCTCCATCAGGCTGAGTTTTGTTTTGAGTTTATTTTACTATAGCAAGTAATGGAAGTAATGGGATGTATTAATGGGGCACCTTTACAGTTACACCTGGATTGATTTTGCCATTAGTGGGCTTCATTTCATCACTAATGAAATCTTTGCTGTTGGAAACAAATGAAATAACTTAAAAAGGAAACAGTATGAGCTAGAAAAAAAGCCTGCCTGCTCTGAAGCAGGGAAGATTTGACCTAGGTTCGGCTGTGCAAATGACCCAAATAGGTCACTGAAAACAAGCCATCTCTTTGTTGTCTACCTTCCGGCAGGCATAGAATGGCGAGTATGTTTTCATTTGATTGATATTTTTGAGCACAAGGCTTCTCTTGTCCCCCCATCCGAGGTCTGCACATGCGAGGGGCCATGTTAATGTGCATTTTCCCAGATCAGTGCCCTCAACTCACAAATCTCCCAGGACAACAACTGGAAATCATCCATCCAGGCTACTCCTGAGTTTCTGGGAAACTAAGGAAAAAATGAGTTCCCTTTATTTGCCTGAAGTTTGTTCCACTATAATGTCGGGAAACTGGCTAAGGTCTCCAAAATTTAAACAAGCACCACTAACCCCCTTCAGATAAACAGAAATGCAACTCTATGTAAATATTCACTAAAGATATTTTACAGCACACTGAAATTAGTGGCTAAAGATGATGAAAGCCAAGAAAGTAATCTACTCAGATGTTGCACTGAAATTGTCTCTAAATTAATTCCTTAAGTCCAAACCAGAATCTCAAACACTGGTCTCTTATTACAAAGGCACTCTATGATATGAGTGCCTTCAACAAATGCCGTCTAAAGCTGTCTTGCACAAAACCTGTACATCCCAGATTCCAGCCGTGCACCCCCACCCATTAAGTTGTAAACGAATTTTATTTGCTGAACAAATGTTAATGCCATTCTACGTTAATGGATAATGCTATGAAAAGCACCTGAGTATTATAGCACTGGAACCTTTAAGGATGAAATAGAGTGTAACTTAGAAAACTGCCTGTTACAAACATATGTCAGCCATGAAGGCTTCTAGCCCTGATCACCCATCCTCACAGAACTCCATTCCAATTTCTCCCTCAGTGAAGAGAATTTTGCAATAACACACAGATTTATTGGGTCCCAGGATTAAAACTCTCTGAGTAAGAATAAAAAATAATTATACGTTAGAACACAATGTAATATTCAAATGACTTGAAAACAGTCACCTCAGCAAAAATAAGGAGGAGAGAGGAAGAAGCTCAAGATAAGGTTGATAACACAGGCTATAAAACCTCTGAATTTAACTGCATAAATGCATGATCTGGCACTTCTGAATCATAAACAGATAGAAATGGGAAAACTCCCATTCACAACAAATTGCCTGAGTAGTTTCATTAATAAGCCAGGGGGACTTCTTCATCTAATAAGTCAGCATAGTAGTTAAGAGATAGGTTACCCTGTAAGGCGTCTTCATTAGAATCCCAGCTATACTACTTGCTAGGTGTGTGACCTTGGGCAAATTGTATTTAACTTCTCCTCACCCATTTCCTCATCTGTAAAATGGGAATGTTACCAATGCCTACCTCCTGAGGCAGCTGCCATGATTAAATCACAGCTTAGAACTGTGCCTCAAACACAATGAATGCTAAGCAAACGTCAGCTCTTCATCACTTAGTGGTTGCTATTATATGTGGGATGTATTGCAATTGGAAAGGTAGAGGAAGGGAAGTGAAAACCTTTCCTCCCAAGAAGTCTCTAAACTCACTGACTACATTTTCTGTTTTCTCTAGTTTGGCTTCTGCCCCCTCCACTCCATGGAAACAGCACTTGCAAAAGTCCCCAGCAACGTTTCTGTGGTCTGATCCATTGGGTGGTTTTAGATCCTCATCTTTCTTGTCCTCTCAGAAACTCTCAACACCACTGAGTTTGAATCTCATTCCTTGGATTCCATGACTTTTCACTATCATAATTTTCCCTCTACTTTTCTGGTCACTCTCTCTCAATTCCATTTCCCAGCGACTGTTCCTTCCCTGAGTCTCTAAAAGTCACAATTCAGATTTTCACTGTTCGTCGGTCTCTAGTCTCTCTCCAGAAAAATTTACCCATTTCTATGGCGTTATTACCAATGACATACTAATTAATCCAAAATGTTGGTCTAACACCTCAGAACTCTGCTCTGACCTCCTGACCTTCAATATGTTATTCTGTGTTCTCTATGTTTAGTTGAATGTTCTAAAGGCACATCCAACTCACCATGTCTAAAAATGAAATTACGATTTCCTCCCTCCCCACGAACTAAGATCTCCCCTAATGTTTCCCAGGGCCGTAAGCACGCCACCAACCATCTCTTGTCTGGATTCCCGCAATAGCCTTCCACTCCCTCTTGCTGCTCCTTTTCCCAGTGGATCCCCTCTCCATAGCAGCCAGAGTGGTGCATTTAAACTGCTAATGTCATCATATCACTCTGCTCAAATGCTCAGCTGATCTGCGTCGTACAGGATCTATGACCTGGCTCTTTTTGCCTCTCCTGCTTAGCTTTATCTACTCATCGACCACTCTGGCTTTCTCTGTCCTTGAGGCCACAGTCTCAGAGGAAGGCTGGTGTGTGACAGATACACAACATATACCATGGGCGGTAACTGAGAAGGAGTCCTGTGCCTGTGCTTGGAGGGTAAGAGGGGTAGGTGATTTGGGAGAATGACTGATGTCAGGAAACACTGGGAATACTAACATGATCCCCTAGGAGCTCCCAAATACCAACTACTATTACTCACACTTTGCCTGACAAGTGGAGAGAGAGAGTAAAGGCTCCAGCTCAACTGGATGCCACTGGTGCCACCACCATCTCTGTTTCCTCCTCATCAATCCCCCTCCCCTCTTGGTTGCTGTTCATGGGTTAGGAAGAGTAGAATTCGGAGCTCGGCTGCCTCCTGATCCAGCCACCATCTCTACTGCACTCTTGCACACACGTGCAGACTTCAGCCTTGCATAGGGACACAAATTAGTGAGCTGGTGGGTCCATGTTCTCCCTCTGTTTCAGGCCTCATCTGAAGAGGGTCGTGGCACAGCTGGGGCACTGGTGGTGGGTGGGAGGGAAGGACTGCAGCGAAGGGGGCATGAGGTTCTCATCAGTTCTCTTTAGAAAACAATAATGATAAAGCTGTATGAATTCTTGATTGTGGCACTCAGTTTTATTCGAATTGAATTTTGCTTTACCTAAACTCTATCCTTTCGGTACATGAATCACTCAAGTCTTTATTCAAACTTCAAGCCCTGTTTCGAGAATAGACTAGGAAGGTCAAAGGATGGATTTCTCCCATATCCTCAGAAGGGCCAAGAGAGAATAAGAAGTTAGAATTTTTCTACTTTGGGAAACCAAAGAGGGGATTGGTGTGTTTTGGTACTGCCCTTTTGCAGACATAAACACCACAACCGATTAAAGGAAGATGGCTTAAAAATGGAATATGTGGGTCAGGCGTGGTGGCTCATGCCTGTAATCCCAGCACTTTGGGAGGCCGAGGCAGGCAGATCACAAGGTCAGGAGATTGAGACCATCCTGGCCAACATAGTGAAACTCTGTCTCTACTAAAAANAAGTGGGCAGATCATGAGGTCAGGAGATTGAGACCAGCTTGGCTAACATGGAAAGCTCCATCTCTACTAAAAATACTAAACATTAGCTGGGCATGGTGGCACATGCCTGTAGTCCCACCTACTTGGGAGGCTGAGGCAGGAGAGCTGCTTGAACCCAGGAGGCAGAGGTTGCAGTAAACTGAGATTATACCACTGCACTCCAGCCTCGGAACAGAGCAAGACTCCACCTCAAAAAAAAAAAAGAAAAAAAAAAGGAATATGTGAACTCCATGAAAGTAGGTTGAAAGAGAAAAACAGGAAAGTTACATCAGCATCTCACTTTGACTGTTCTTTAATCGGAAACAAAGCCCCAGAAGAGAGACAATATGGATACAAAGTAACTATGTATTTTATTTAACATATACTTAAATGCCAGAAATGAAGCTGCCTGTTTTGACAGTTGTTTTCTCTATAAATCTCTGCCAGAAAAAAAATCATTATGAATACAACAAATCTCACCTCAGTTAGTTATTCTGGTTCAACTTGAGACTTAGATTTATTTATGAAATAATGCTTTCCAGAAAGAAAAACATCCTGCTTTTTAAAATAGTTAATGTAAAATTTTAACCCACGTAATTATATTACTGTAGTTCACTAGCAATTAAAAAAGAAGTGTGTAGGATGTCCGAAAGAAAAGACCATATTAATTTTTTTTTTTTACAGTGAAATTCTGTACCATCTGGCCTAATTTGTCTTGGTGTTTTGCCCAGTGTAGTATCAGCTTTTTGAGAACTGTAAATTATTAGGTAACTCCCCTGAAAAACTATGAGTGAAGAAAAAATATGGGTTGATGACAAAATCCTGATCATATGTCTGAACATTTGAGAAAACACTGATGTTCGCAACAGCCCAATCTAAGTCATTCTGGGCACGAAACTGGTTCAGGGAGGGAACCCACAGTAAACACAGAGGGTGACAGGGAAAATAACGTGAAACAATAGGGAAACGCAGTTCCAGATCCTGAGCATTACCTCTTTGTCAAGTGCTTCTGATTCCAATTAAGTTTACAGGAAAAATAACCAGGCAACCCTTGCCTGACTCAAAAAAAGTGCAGACTATTAAAGGGTGCTTTTAAATAGCAGGGTGATAAATGGGGCATCTAAATGTGAGCACCAGCATATTTTTCATCTAAATTCTGTTCTAATGTCTTCCAGCTGATTGCTTTAATAGGGTGTCACCTCAGCCTGTGCAGGGGTGTCCAGAAGGGGTGCAGCTCCTAGATTACCTAAAGAAGTGCTGTTTCAAAAACTCATGTGACTAATCTCAGAAAAGGTAAACATCAGACAACAAAACTATGGGCTCCTTTATCATGGAGCCACAGGTTTCCTTTTTATTTGGAGTCTATGTCCCACAGATTTATAAGACTGTTTAAAGAATAATCTTACCCGGATTATTTCTTCAACACAGCTGTTGTTTTCTCCAGATCTACTCTCCTGAAAGCAAAGGAAAAAAAAATTAAGCCTGATGGAATAGATTGATGATCACAGAGAAAGCATGCAAGCTTCCAAATTATTGTCCAAAAAAAAATATTGAGTTATAAGTTGAGGAGATGCCTGCTGGGATTGACGGACAGGCTCCTTTCCCTACAGCCAGGTCTCACTGTGGCTGCCGCTCCCCCATCCCCAGCTGGAGTACCACACATGCACCCCAGAGGCTCAACTGTGGCCTCTCCAACCAGCCCACTTTAAGTGTACAAAATGTGACCGGCCGGTATGAGCTCCACCCACGTTGGGTGCCATTAATGTGTGGAAACCGTGGCCTCTGCTACAATAGTGGATCCAATTTACCCACCAAATACATGCCACGGGCCTACCAAGTACCACAATGGTTGCTACGGCTCAGGTAAATGTCTGGTCGTTCCACTGTCCTCAGAGCCTAGGTTTACTGGTTTGATGGGGGGTAAACTGAAAGACCAAAAAGAGAAACATCCTCTGGATGCTGGCCTGGCATGTGGGGCGTCATGCTCGAGTCACTTGTTCTGCCACTCACGCTGCCTTGAGCTGGGCAGATGTGAAGACACTCCGAGGTGAGTGGCTTCAGGTCACAGCTGACTCTGGGGAGCATTTCAAGTTCCAGAGATACTGTATGGTTCCTGCTGGCTACCCAGACAAGAGTGCTGGATGTGGGTTTGTGGGGACACAGAAGCAGTGTATGGTGGTGAACGTGCCGACGTGTGGTCTCAGGAAGATCACTTCTCTTGGTCCTACAATTCAAGGATGTCAACCTGAAAATAGATGTCACGGTGACATCCCGGAATGAGGCTCTTCTCCAAGCCCACTCTCCCTTCCTCCTCACTGTTCTCTCTTGCCAGGAATGCTATCTGCACCTTTCCTGGTAACTAATTTCCTAGTTAATTCCTAGTTAAGTCATCCTTTGGACAGCAGCTTATCCACAGCTTCCTCAGAGCAGCCACCCCTGACCCTGGAGTGCTTGCCCATAGCAGCCTCTACTTCTTCAGAGCCCTCGCCACAACTGCAATTCAATAATGAAGTCTCCAATAATCTCTTGTCCCTCTAAAACATCAGATCCCTGGATTTTGGGGCTCCCTGTCTTCCAGCACTGTGCTCCACACAACATGGGGCATAGGCAATAACAATTGGCTGGTGTTAGGTGTATGAAGAAATGAAGGAGTTTACTTCCTGCAGTTCTGAGTGGCATGAGGCTCATCAGAATCAGCACTAGAACTTTAAAAATATTACGAAGGCTCCCAGTGACCGTGCCATTACACTCTCCATGCCCTGTGTCTGCCAGCTCATTCCTTGTCCTAGGGTAGAGCATTTTCTTTGAAACACTTTATCCTTTACTCAAGTAAAGGGCTAGGGTGAAGGAAGATAAGTGAGGCTTGAAAAGGTCCCACACATGATTGAGACCTTGTCCTACCCAGAATTAGGGGATTTACTGAAGTCTCCCACCAGAAGCCCAGAAAGTTTACATGACTCGCCCAAGGTCACATAGAGTTACCATATAGTTAACTCTCTGCTTTAACTTTTTTTTTTTTTTTTGAGACAGAGTTTCACTCTTGTCACCCAGGCTGGAGTGCAATGGCATGATCTCAGCTCACTGCAGCCTCTACCTTGTGGGTTCAAGCAATTCTCCTGCCTCCGCCTCCTGAGTAGCTGGGATTGTAATCAGGTGCCTGCCACCATGCCCAGCTAATTTTTGTATTTTTAGTAGAGATAGGGTTTCACCATGTTGGCCAGGCTGGTCTTGAACTCCTGACCTCAGGTGATCCACTCGCCTCAACCTCCCAAAGGGCTGGAATTACAGGTGTGAGCCACTGTGCCTGGCCTGTTTTAACTTTTGGAGGAACAGTCAAATTGTTTTCCACAGTGGCTGTACCATTTCATATTCCCACCATCGATGTATGAGGATTCTAATTTCTCCACATTTTGACCAATACTTGCTATTTTATTCTACTTTATAATAGCTATCCTAGTGGATATGAAATGATATCTCATTGTGGTTTTGATCTGCATTTCTTAATGACTAATGATGCTGAGCATCTTGTGTTTACTGAACGTTTGTTTATCTTCCTTGGAGAAAAATTTGTTCAAGTATTTTGCCCATGTTTTAATTGGGTTGTGTTTTTATTGTTTTGTTGTAGGGGTTTTTTGTATATTTTGGATATTAGATCCTTAGCAGGTACAGTATATGATTTACAAATATTTTCTTCCATTCTATTGGTTGTTTTTTCACTCTCTTGGTAGTGTTCCTGGATGTACAAAACTTTAATTTTGATGAAGTCCAATTTGTCTGGTTTTTTTTCTTCTGCTGTTCAGGCTTTTGAGTGTCATACCTAAGAAACCATTGCTAAATTCAAGCCATGAAAATTTACCATTACGTTTGTTTTCTTTCAAGAGTTTTAGACAGTTTTAGCTCTTTTGTATAGGTCTTTGATACAATAGTCTGGGAACTTTTAGGTGAAGTTTATTTTCTTGTTAATTATTTGGTGAATTTTCATTAAAACGGAATGTTACCTTTTTGCTTCATTCTACTCACATCATTAAAAAATCAACAAAATGTGCAAGGCACAGCTACTGTTACTAGCAGTGCATGAAGAGAATATGTATATCTGTCCTTGTAAGCCAAGAAAAATAGTGTTCAATATCATGACACCAATGCTTTTACTAATACTTCACACCCTTTCCTATACTCATCCTTCCTTCTATTTTCCCAAAAGCTTGAGTTGACCACACACTTATTACAAACTTCCACTCCCATCCCAAATTCCTTACCCTGGAACTGTTCTGGAAATGTCACCATTCTGACACTCTAATAAAACTGGATCAGAGAGCTCTTTTGGAACCTGCTCCTTTTCTAGGGAAGCCTGAGGCAACCATCACAAAGGTTATACAGTTAGCGCTCGACTTACGACCACGATTGGTTCCGACAGACCGGTCGTAACACGATTTGGTCGTAAGTTGAGTAGGCTATATGCACGTGGAGATGGTAGTGCTGCCGGAAGCTGGTCCGCACTGTCGTACGCCCAGCTGGGCAATGTTTGCGCTGCCAGGCGCAGAGCAGTTGTGGCTAGTCATTGTGGTCGTAAAGTCGAATGGTCGTAAGTTGCATAGGTCGTAAGTCGATCAATACCTGTATAGGAAAGTCTCAGTCGGGCCAGGGCTTGATGGTGATTTGGAAGGATTTCCTTTGGCGTTCATGGTGGGAATGAGTGGTCTGAATTGGAAAATGTACTGTCAAACCTACAAGCATTAATCACATCTCTTACCCTACTTCTAACCCAACCATTTCCTACTGTGTAACCTGCTGGCAGGGCAAATGCTGATTCTCAATGTGCTTTATTTTTTACCGTAAAACAATCAAGAAAAGCTTGACCTCATGTTCTCCTGGTGCAATCACCCAGATATAACAGCATACTAAAAAGACTCTTCGAAGTAAACTTTGGGTTTGATTCCTTAAAGCTAAGCTTCCTTGAATACCACACTTTAATTTCTTTTGATGTTGTTTATATAAATGACAGGTTGCTTTTATAACTATCTCCCCTATAATCCTATAAATTTCAACTGTCCTAATCTGATAAGGAAATGCAGTGAGAGAGAAACGCAGGATAGATGCCCTATTAGATACTTCTCCCATCACTGGAGACACATATGTAGGATCTTTACACTAAGTCATCTTTATGGCAGCTCCAACCACAAAAGCCTGGATGGTCTGGACAGACATTCCTTATGAGGAAGACCATTTGTAAAGCTAAGGAGGTGGTAGAAGTAAAGCCAGAATGAGGGACCTCTAACAACAGTCTCAGAAAGTCCTGGCCTTAAATTACAATATGGACAGTCTTTGGCAGAGGCACCTCTTGAGTCTTTTCAGAACACTGAGAAACGTTCTGGGGACTCAAGAAGGGTACCACATGGGTTTGAATCTCCAGGACCCCATTTAGATTAGAGTAAATCCATGGGGCACGGTATTGTAGAAAATCTGAATGGGAAAGAACCTTGGAGCTCTTTTCAGGCCAAGTCAATGACTTTTTTTTTGGAGACGGAGTTTCACTGATGTTACCCAGGCTGGAGTGCAATGGCGCGATCTCGGCTCACCGCAACCTCCACCTCCTGGGTTCAGGCAATTCTCCTGCCTCAGCCTCCTGAGTAGCTGGGATTACAGGCACGCACCACCATGCCCAGCTAATTTTTTGTATTTTTAGTAGAGACGGGGTTTCACCATGTTGACCAGGATGGTGTCAATGACTTTTAACAGATGGAGACACTGAGCCTCAGAGAAGTGAAGGGCTCTGTCCAAAAATCATTCTGCCAGCAAAGTGCAGTTGAGGCAGAATCTACTCACATTTCAACAGCAGCTCAGTGAGTTCTCTACTATCTCATGCCGCCTCCCTCAGCTCAATATCTAGAGCTGGCTCATGTTGAGGTAACTTGCATGCCCATAGTATGGAAATAAAAGAATGCAGATAGTATTGGGGTAAATTTCCTCCTTTCCACGTGACAAATTCCTCAGCACTTGATCATTGCCTCTCACTAGCTAATCTCCAACACCACACATGTAGACCAAAGGCGGAAGAGAAGAGAGGGGAAGTAGAGAGACAAGGTCAAATCTACTACCCCTTCTGTGACATTAAAAAATAAGGAATAAGGGTTTGTGTCCTTAGAAGTAGGAGGATGGAATTCCACCTTATCTTTTCCAAATATACAGAAAGCGTAGATAGGTAGATAGGTGTGGGGTTGGGGGATCTAGGGGATCTTTTACCTTCTTGAAGTCTTTCTCAAATCTGGTTTCAGCTGCAGTTGTGTGCTTAGTTTGATTGTATTTACATTTTGAAAACTTTCCATGTTTATGAACAAGATTAAAATATGCATGTAATTTACATCTCCAAATTCGTGTTTATATTTTTCACAATAAAGTAACTGCTTTCCTTGGAAAGGTACCCACTGAGAAGGAGGGCTGCACAATGCATATTTTA